TTCTTACCCTAACCCTGATGTCAGTCTCATTCTACAGCAGTGGCACTATGCAGTGTTTGTCCTTTTGTGACTGAGATATTTCACCCAGCATAATGTCCTCGAGGGTCAGCCGTTTTGAATAATATTGCATGAGTTCCTTGTTTTTCAATGCAGCGTCGTATTCCATTGTGTGAATATACCATAGCTTCTCTATCCATTCATTTGTTGATGGGCATTTAGGTTGCTCCGAACTCCTTGCTATTGTGAACAAAGATGGCCCACAAGCACATGAAGAAATGTTCAAAATTCTTAGCTCTAAGATGCAAATCAAGACAACTATGAGATATCATCTCACCCCAGTAAGACTAGCAAAATTTAACAGAACAACAAGCAGCAAATGCCGGTGAGGTTGAGGAGATACTGGAACCCTTATTCACTGTTGGTGGGAGTGTAAAATGGTGCAACCACTGTGGAAGGTGGTGAGGCGCTTTCAAAAATGTTGCAAATAGAGACCATTTGACCCAGCAATTCCACTTCTAGGAATATGCTCTAAAGAGACTATAACCAGCACCCAAGCAAGTTAACTTTTACCTGAACTTCGGTAAATCCAACTCAGATAGACTGTAATTTTTTTTTTATTTTAATATATTAACTTGTTTTTGTTTTGTATATAGATGAATAGTGTTGGCTGGAGCTTCCTGACTAAAACAAGCCTGGAAGCAGGAGCGGCATCCACTTCCAAAATGGCTTGCCTCCGGAAACTCTATGTATGAACAGTGCTCAGGCTGTTCATTCATAGGGTCGCTATGAGTCGTATACGACTCGACAGCACCAAACAACAACAACAATATAGATGTTACCTAAAACTCAATGGAGTTTTCTCATTTATTTATTGATTAATTCATTACTTTATATTTGGGATATTTATGATACAGATTTATTATTTAATGTGAGAATGTAAATCCTTGAAATCAGAGGCCTTGTCTCCCTTTAATAGAATAACCTCAGCTTTAAGAACAGCAATCTGTTGTTGCTGATAAGCCACTGTGATTTTTACACTGTTGTTGTGTACTGTGGAGTTGGAACTAACCCATAGCTGACCCTCCAGCAGGTTTTCAGAGGCAGTTAATTACTTGGGAGGAAATTGTCCATCCTTCTCCTGCAGGGAAGCTGGTGGATTTGAACCTCAGGGCAGCTTTGTGCCACACAGTAACCAGAGCTCCCTTGATTTTACACTATTATTGTTATAGTGGAAGCTCTGGTAGCTGAGTAGCAAGAAGCTCTCTGCATTCCCAAAGGCATGTAGTTCAAGACCACCAACTGCTCTGTAGGAGAAAGATGAGCAGTCTCCTCTTGAGTGAGTAACTGCCTCTGAAAACCCATCAGAGAGTCAGATAGGGGTTGGTTCCGACTCTATGGTACACAACAATGACTATTATATAATTAAATACTAGCATAAAAGACTCGATAATCTCCAAGGCAGTTGATAACAATGCATTGTAGCTCTTTCTGCCAGGAAATGACCTATATGCTGAGGAAATAGACTCATCTGGTTTGCTGTCAGTTGCAGCCTGTGGTATGGAGTGTGACAGATTTCAGTAGAATTTGAAGAAGCCCTTTTTGACAGTTGGGACTGGCCAAAGATAAGAGGTTTGCTTCAAAAGATAGTAAGCTTTTCATGTATTAATGTCTTCAAGGGGGGAAAATGTACGAGTATTCGACAGTAATTTGGTAGCTTGCTAAGAGAAATATCATGCAAGCACTGGTGTGCAGGAAGGACATGATGTACTTTAAAATCATAGCTTGAGAGCCTATGATTAAAAGTAATTGACAAGACATGACTGAAGTCACTGGTCTGATTTTCATAGCTGGCTTCTGAAAACCAATCCACTTGCATCAAAGCTCAGTGCAGTCTTGTCAGATGTATAGGTTCTGTGAAAAGCTTTTTTGTTGTCAAATGCAATGAGACTGATATATTCTCTCTCTACTTTCCAGGTCCAAAAGCTATAGAAGCTTATGGGAAAAAGTTTGAAGTAAAAACAGTCTCTGGAAAATTGCTCTTCTCGGCGGATGACAACGAAGTGGTAGTAGGAGCTGAGAGATTAAGAGTTTTAGGTAAGGATAGTGTAATAATTTAATTGGCTTGATGTGACTGGTACAATTTATAGGAAAAGTGGAATGTTGTCAAGAAGAATGTATGATTTCAGTCACTTACCTTGATCTTTAAAACAGAACAATTGAGTGACCATGGAGCTTGGTTCTCTGGCAAAAGTTTTTTAAATCATAAAATCTTTGTGGCATGCCTGCCAGTGGAGAGGAAGTAAATTCCCAGGAAGTTCTTTTGAGGCCTCAGTAGGTGGAATTGAACTACTAACCCTTCATTTGTCTCACTTGGAGACTCCTCTCTGCACTTAACCACACATAAGCAGGTTAGTTCTACAGCATCTTCCAACTCTTACTATCCAGCTTTTGCATGTTTCTGGTAGAAATGGTACTTTCCACATCATTCTTGGTTGGAGAGAAAACAAAAACTTTAGGCTGATGTTTCTGTTCAAAAATATTTTCCTTGACCAGCTTTAAAATAATAGTCTACAGGGCAGAAAATGGATGGTATCCCAGGCCATGGTTGTTTTGTACAAGTAAGGTTTGATACTTTCTATTGGTTTTTTGGTATTTCACTGCTTAAAATTACTTCTACAAAGCTCTGGATAATTTTACACATCTGAACGCTATGGGTTAGCCCTAGCATATTAAACTCTGTGGAGCTCTCTTTTAAGAACTGTTCTCGTCCATTGATTATTTAGATTAATGGCTGGATGATAGTGGTTTCCTATTATTTCAAGGCAGGTGGATGTTTGTGTTGGGGGTGATTACCCTGGTGGTATTTCACTTGGAGAACGATGTAGAATAACATCTGTTTCTCCCCATGATTAAGAGCATTTGCTTTTCTAAAATGCAAAATTGGGGCAAGGAAGCTGCATAACAAACACGACTGCTGCTACCAATGCTAAAAAGAGTTGGAAATGACCACCCTGCGCATCTTGCGTCCACCTCCTTGGTGTAATGAGCCTCCTGTGGGCAAAACGAGCTTCCTGTCAGCTGGGATCCGGCTGTGTGGGGCGAGAAAGAAGGAGAGACAGTTTCCTTTTCAACTGAATGGACAACTTTGTCTTCTCACACTGTTACAGCACAAAGGCTCTGGGAAAGTTTTTAATGTGAATGCATATTTCAGGATGGAGTCTAATGGTCAGAGTTTGAATGCTTGTTGCAACACTTAGGATCTGCACGATCCTAGGCAAGTCTGTTTTCCTCGTTAAGCCTTACATAAACAAATTAAAAATGTAAGAAAGAATGGGTAAAGGAATATGATAAAACAGTAAATTTGTTATTTGCATGGAGAGTTGAGTAGGAATAAGCAATAGTGGTGGTGATGGTGACAATGGTTGTTTACTGTCATCAGCTAGGCCCCCACACATGATGACCTCACGTACCATGGAACAAAAGGCTTCCCAGTCCTTTGGCATCCCCATGATCACACCATTGTCATCTATAGGGTTTTTTTTTTTTCTTCTCTGATTTCCAGAAGCAGATCACCAGACCTTTTGCTCACCCTTTCTTTCTAATCTGTCTAATTCTAGAAGCTCCACTGGAAGCGGTTCCCTGACGCAGGCCAGTCTACTGACACAGGTGTGATGGTTGAGCTTGAAGTGCATTAGCCAGGAATTGACTCGGGGTCTCCCACACAAAAAGCAAAATTCTATCACTTAGCTATCATTCACCCGCTTATCTTGAGTACTTATCTCTGTGCAGAGGGTTAAATCAAACACCTGCCATGAATGAATGCTTTTACCTAAACCTCATCAGGAGGGCACAGACTTAGCACCTTCATTTACAGATGATCAAGCTGAGCCACAGGAGAGCAAATGGCGAGGCCAGGACCTGAATCCAGCGGGTGTTCCTACCATGCTGTAGGACTGTGGTACTGTTCATACCTCTACTCTATTACAGTGAGCTTTAACTTCTCTGAAGTCCATGTTGGCAGCACAGTAAGAATGCAAGAAAGCTAAACACCCACTTGTAGATACTGTCTTTCTTTATGACTTTGGGTTGTATGCCATTCCTACAATTCTTACACCTCTGATGGTCCTTCCACTTCCTTCACACACTCTTTTATCACCTGTCAGATTGTGGCTGTCCACACGTGGGCTCACACATTCAGTCCTTTTTCCATCGTCACATTTCTAAGGGAAAACTCACAACTTTCCATAGTTTAAGCATTTGCTTTTATCCAGAAGGTACTCCATTTGTCTTGACCTTCTTTTTGTTTCTAGTTCCAAATTATCAATAGCCTGGACTCTCCGAGGTGGCGGTCCTTCCTTCACTCCCACCACATTACCTGCAGCTGAGCAGATGTCGCCTCCGTCAATCTCCCTGTCCAACCTGCCTCCCTAATTCTCTTTTTGTCACCATTCTCTTAGTCACCAAAACATTGTTCTTGTTCATGTGCCAGGTCTTATTACTCTTCATGTGAACGTGAATGTCTTTGCCATCTATAGAGCTTCCATATTAGATATCTATTTAGGTCTGACACAAACAATTTTAGTCTTGTGGCCAAGTTCGCCCTTTTAATGATCACAAAGGTATAAAATTAGAGTGTAAGGTTAGGCATAGTCTATGTTACCTTTGATTGCAGAACAAAGGTTTTAAATATCTTGCCAAATAGCAACAAGAAAGTAGACAGCATTAAAGCTTGTGCATTTAAGAGGTGCCTTCATGGAGACACTAGGGAAAACATAACTTTTATTTTCATTAATGACCAGTTTTATCTAACAATGAATTGGACATTACAGCATTTATAAACAAAACATAATTATAAAGTGTTATTCTAATTGCTAATTAGGTCTATTTATACTCAAGATTAGTTTTTTAAAAAAATATCCTTTAGATGCCACTTGATGCTAATTATGCAAGTTACGTTATTATCAATTGAAATACATATTTTAATTAAATCTAAAGCTGTTTAAATTAGCACAAGAGTTATAGAAATGCAAATGTTTTCTGATGCTTGTTAATTTTTTAAGACCTCATTCAATGATACATTCAGCTTTTTGAATTAGATTTTGATGCAGTTCTCTTACTGCAACCTGGCAATTGTTAATTGCAGGAAAGGAGTGGCAATGTTCTTACTATTATTCAATGTTTACATGCATGTGTCTATATATACAGATAAGTACACATAAATAATTTCCTGCTCCTTTGCCTTACAGACAGGCATGACTATCCTCATCTCTTAGTCTAAGAAGGGAGGTGAACTAGTGAGTTCTTGTTCTAATCGGGAGCATGAGGCACACATACATATCTGAAAGACCAGGAAGAAACTAGTGACCTAAGAAACAGAGAATCCGATGGTGGTGTGCTGTGGGAGAGTTGAGAAAACTTTGTAAATGCAGACACTTGAGCATGAGTTAGAGTGCCTTCCGGATAAGGAATAGTGTGCATGTGCTCCCCTGGGCCTCCTTCATTTGCAAGCAACATAAATCCAACTCAAAGAGGCAGGTGTATTTATTGGCTCATGTAATTGAAGATCCAGGACTTTAGACTAGAGATTCAGGGCTCGGATGCTGTGACTAAAAATCAGTCCCTCCTTCTCTTACGATCTCTTAGCTCTATTTTTGCAAACTTGTATACCTTCTTCAATTCATCACCAACAGGAGAAATTTCACTTCCTTTTTTATTACTGGCTATAACAAAACTATTACACGTGGGTAGATTTAAAGAATAGAAATGTGATTGTATAGAGTTTTGGAGGCTAAAAGTACATGTACCAGTGGCCTCCCTTCTAGTTTTTTAGTGCCTGCTGATAATCTGCTGATAATTCCTTTACATGTAGATGTTTCCTCTCCACATGTGTGTGTGTTGATTCTAATCACTCAGAAGGATTAAGTCTAGTATCTACCCCACCCATAGGACTTCATTAGCATGACAAAAAATGGCTTGTCTCAAAAGGATCATGCTTTCCATACTATCAAGTCATATTTGGTGTCAGGAGATACAATTCAGTCCTTCAAAACATCCTAATATAAAAATAACAAAGTTCTGTGATTTACTAAGCTGGCTTGACTCAAAGGTCTATCCCCTCAATGGATTACATTGATCACATTGATAGAGTATGCTGATTAGCAAGACCTGGGCCATACAACGGCTAAGGAGTAAGAGTGAGACAGGGGAGCAGTTCTCTACAAAAAGCTTCTGTTGCCATTTCTAGAAGAGAGAATGCATTCTGGGAAAGGAGAAATAGCATATGCACCTTAAAATTGGGAAATGCATGACTAGAGAACCCAAGAATTGTCAGAGGTATTATTGTAAAAGACTTTCTTACATTCACACTCCCTTAGATGAGGAAATGAAAAATCAATATAATTTGTAAATTTAAAAAAAAAATAAGAAATATCACACAAAACTAAATAAAATGTCATCACATCCTTGTTCGGTTAGTTCCAGATAGAACAGCTTCCTTTCTGAACACATCAAACGTTTTTCCCACTGTGGGCATATGCGCTTCCTGTTGCCCCTGCCTAAAGCCAGTTGTTGTTAAGTCAGTTTGAATTTATGGCATTCCCTTGTGTAGGATGGCTTTTACTTGAGTTGAACTGTGTTCTGTAAGATTTCAGTAATTGTTTATTTGATGCTCCATCCCCCGCCCCCAGAACCAGTGTGAACTTGAATAACCAACCTTTCATTTATCAACCAAGGGTATTAGTCATTTATGCTACCCAGGGATTCTGTCCTCCTGACTCCTTTCTACAATGAGCTTATAAGTCATCTTTTTTTACCATAAGTGGCAACTCATCTAAAGGGCTCTTACTTGACCATTTTCTAAAAAATATCATGTTCTTATTACCATAATAAATCAGGAGTGACAAACTACAGTTTGTGGACCAACTCCAGTCTACCATCTGGCATCATAAAGTCTTATTAGAACACAGCCAAGCCCATTGCCTTATGCATTATCAATGGTTACTTTTGTACTATAGCAGCAGAGTTACCTAGTTATGACAGAGCTCCCGTAGCCTGCAAAGCATAAAATATTTGCTATCTGGTCCTTATGCAAGTTTACCAACTCCTG